TCCTGCTCGTCACTGACTCTTTTATCTCAACCAAAACCTTATATAGAAAGAATAATTAATTGAAAGAATTAACTTGGTCAATTGACCACTAAAACGTAAAATGAATACAGGAATAATTTTTGTTAGAAATCAACTGTCACAAAGAATCATTTGAAATCGGGCGTGTTTGATTCATTCCAGTTCATTCCATGGTGTTATTCAGTTCTTTACGAGCTAAGTTTCACATAAGTCAATTTAGTAGGCCTAATGTTGACCTTTTACTTCTTGAAACCAAAAATTACAATATAGAAATTTCCGTTACCCCCTGTTGAGCATTATTACAAGCTGACAACTCACTCATGACCAGTACAGTTTTCGATCCGGGTTAATTTTGAGCTTTATTAATTTTTTCATATGATAAAAACTTGAATATGATGACAAGCATTATGATCCTGTAATGTGGAAACGTGCCTTGAGAACTTAATCTTCACCAAAGGTCGTAAATATATTTTAACCACTTAAGGAGCGTTAAATGTTGATTTAGATTACAAACGCTATGTTTTGAAACGAATATGAATTTATAGAAATCAAACAACAGAAATATTAATGATAAAAACAAGCTATCCTTGTATTTTTTGGTGAAAGTTTTAACGACGGTTTTTACGGTAAAGGAATTATTAGGTTTGTTAATTATTTTTGTCCTCTCAATAAAATATATAACTAAATTTTGGAGACCCTTTCTAAAATTTACGAGACATCTTGGTTATAAGAAAATTACACAAATCGAAAATAATGATCGAAATACTTTTATTTGACCGGGTTTTAAATTTCACCATCCTTTTTAAAAAGAGGTCATAGGAGTAAAACTAGCGTGTTGGTCGTAATTAAAGGTGAAAAAATGTGAAGTGGATTTTTCCTTTTTGGATCCCACGAAGGTTGGAATATCGGCGGATGGTGTTTAAATAACGCCGATAACAAGCGTCAGTCTAGCATAACGACATGCTGACATCCGAAGGACGCGAGTAAAAACTGGAAACCTCAAAACAGCCTCAGCCCGTTTCAAAACTCGACCTCAGGCCAATTGAGGTAACATTACACGCCCGTCGCGCAGAATTTACCCCACGGGGGGAAAAGACAGACCGCAAATTTTTCAATCCGGGCCGCACAAATATCATGGTTTCCTTTGTTTTTTTAAATGTTCGATTCCACTTTGGAAAAGCAGCAGTTTCAAAGGGTTTTCACTGTAATAGGACCCGGTCTGATTTTCCGGATCACAATGTCTTTCCCGGGCGCCCTTTGTGACCGCTAACAAGCATCCATTGGAACAGCTTTTTTTCTCACGAGGCCAAAAAGAGGAACGCATCGGCAGAATAGATTTCTAAATGGCTTTCCCATTACATCATATCTTTCACCTTCTGTTACAACCTACATTTTGACTGAAATAATACACCCAAAGACAAAAACCGGACACTTTCATTTATTTCCAAATAACTTGGTATAAAGATTAATAGTTGTTTTACAGTACAATAAGCTGTACAGCTGCAGCGCTCAGGAGGGAAACACAATATTAATAACACGTTGTAACTTTAACTTTTTTGCATTACCGGTTAGGTATTAGCCATAGAGAGCCCATTCACAATAGACCAATACTGGTCGCGGTGCACATGTCGTAAAGAGGTTATATGATCTAATCATAGAGTGATTCCAGAGGGGTATGAGAGGCGACTCCCAGGAGCCACTGACCCAGCCGGAATGGACCAGCAGGAAGACAAGAGAGCTTACATTTCGTATAAAAACTATTTTTTATTGACTAAAACGTTTACGAAGGTATTTTACATTCATTAAATTAAAAATAAAGAAAATCAGTCCAATTTCATCCTTTCCGGAGCCAACTTATGGAATGAGTTAATTGGTTTTTTAATTTGTTGTCTTTGAAGAAACAATCAATTTGAGTAAAAATGTAATTATTAATTTTTTTCTTGAATGCACGGTTTTAAGTCGAGAAAATCTCGCCCGGGAAGATGTTTTGGTTAACAACGGAGGTAGCGCCCCCAATTACACCGGCTGTGCCGCGCTGTACCACCCATGATGGTCTATAGCGGTTTAGAGACTAGGGGAACTCTGATCGAAGAATAGGTAGTGGTCGACCATGAGGTGATGGTTTTGTTGCTTTACCACACTATGGAACCGTCGTTTAACGACTTTCTTGATAGGTAGTCAACTCCAGTCATTAGAAGTCTTCGTGAGAATAGCCCAGTCTGTAGACCTCCCACACTAGTTTCTTTATTACTAGATATTGGGTACAAAAACTACCATTCGCTAATCATCATCTCAGACGACCCGGAACCGTGTGTGGAGAAGACGTGGAAGTACGCTTTGATTCACATGCCATGGTATAGGGTGGAACCCACGTCCAAGTCCGTACCGAATTGATTATCATACCGAATGGATCTTTGACTGCATGAAGGTCTATTCAGAACATTGCTTTGGTTCTGTTCGCTCCATTTATTGAAAACAATGCTCGACCGCGTCTTGTGGAGCAAAATGCCCAGATTTGGCTTTTTCTCATTTTCAAATTTCATGACTTTTTACATTTTATAACCGTTTCTCCCATCCCATCCCCTTCTGCTCTTTGGTTAAAAACCTAGGAGTAGTCTTTGACCAAAACCTTTCCTGGCATTCTCACATTTCCCAAATTTCCCGCCATTCCATGGCCTCCCTCAGCTTGTTTCGTCGGTCCTGCTTCTCTTACCTTTCTCCACCCGCAAACTCCTTGTATCTTCCCCTATACTTCCCTTCTTCGATTATAGCTGTTTGGCATACGGTGGTCTCTCGGAGGGGGAGAACGCGTGATTGAAGCGTATTATGAATTGTTGCGTACGATTTGTGTACGGCACCCCACGGGGATCCCGGGTGTCGGGGTTGTATTCCACACTTTCCTGGTTATTCCCCTCCTTCCGTGCACATTATTTCCTAAGTTGCTTTCTTTTCCAGTCCATCCACACTCGTCGTCCTCCTTACATCATCCAATCCCTCCAATTCAACTCCTCACATCTCACTTGTAAGACCCGTTCATCCCCAATCGACCTTATCCTTCCGCAACATACAGCCCATACCTTCGAAAGATCCTTTCTGATCCGAGCCCCTAAACTCTGGAACTCCCTTCCCCTTTCTATTCGTCACGCTGCCTCCTTTTCCTCCTTTAAATCCCACCTGTATAATCACCTCCTCTCCCTCCAAGCAGAGACCTCACGTTAACATTTGTTATTTTTGTTTAATGTTCTGTAATTTTTTCTTCTGTCCTGCCTTATTGGTATACATTGTGCCAAGATTTCTATCTTTTTTTTTACTTTTAACTTCATAGAAGGTATTTCCTTTATTTAGTTCATGTAAATTATTCTTAGGGGAAACCGGTCCCAGAATAAAGTTATTTTTCTTCTTCTTCTTCTTCTTTCTTATGGTATAAACTGTTTATTCTGCCCAGTGCAGTGCACTGTATGCAGTGATGCAGGGATTACCACGATGAGTTGACCGGAACGTTCTCCTGATAGGAATCCCATAGAATACTTATAGGACATGATAAAGAAACAGGTTGGACTTCGATCGCTTTTCAGCTTCGAGCAACTCTGGTTGAAGAATGGGATTCCGTTTCACAAGACGAAATCGGATAGCTTATTTACTCAATGCGGAGAATAATACTCGAGGCCATAGGAGATAATACGCGTTATTAAGAACAAAACTAGGTAATAAATTATTTGTTAAATTTTAGTCTATCACTAAATGACTTTCTGGTATTTCAGTGAATTTTCTTTCAAACAATATTAAATAATTTTTAGTAAAACTCATGAATTTCTGCTCTCGTTTAATTTTGATTACACTAAAATTAGTATAATGTACATACTACAATAAAAATAGTTTGAAGTAAACAACAAAATACGAGTGTCCGGTTATCTTTGGGATTTTATCTTTATGTTTTTCCTAATCAAGTGCTCTGTATCTTCTTCTAGGAAGATTGTACGTACTCAATTAGATAAATGATTAACAACAAAAATTGCATTTTATTCTCCGATTCACCTCTGCAACTCCAGATTCGTGTTGATCTCCACATCGAAAGCACCTAAGCTGATATCTACAATAGGTTTGCCCGACACCATGACGCCGAATGCATTGCAAGATTTGTCTCTGCTTAAAAGGTTCTTTAATCTTTATTTTTGGTGTTCAAAAGCATCGTGATATCATAGATTTTTTCATAGCGTTTCGATCTAGGTCTACAAGAACCTGTCCGACGGTAGTTTAAATTGTGATGGAGAGTTAATACAATTTACTACTTCATATCTTTTGTTGTTTAATTCGTAAACTACTATTCCTGTTGGGGTAGAAAACTGTAGACCTTTTATTATAACGCGGTACTTTTTTCCTCTTGCAGTTGATATGTAGAACGTCGGTTTGTTTGTCGTTTCTTGTGAGTAGTTGAAGAAAATTTGAGGTGTTTTTTTAAAAAGAATGAATTTTCACCTCCTGTTTTCTAAAATTTCTGTTAGTGAATGAGTATTCATACATGTTTATAATGTAAATCAGTGGAGGTTTCGTGTCCTTTGTTTCGGTGTTATTTGTATTTGCCATCTCAGTGCTAGAAAACGTGCTTTAGTGGCAATGTCTTAAAATCCCTGCCAGTAATTTGTGGACTATGTCGTTTTCTCCCAAAAACTCGTGTTCGTTTCGTTCACAATCCGTTTCTTGTTGCCTTCACTCATTTTTGAGCCGTAATGAACAGGGAGACTCAAAGAGTCCAGAGAAGTTAAAAGTAAAATTGTCACATATACTAAATGAAAAGTTTTTTTTATATCCCATAACTGCAAGAAACTTAAAGAAAAAAAAACAAATTTTTGTAAGCCGTTTTATACTAGATTTCTACGAGACTAGACAGTCAACAGTTATTCTTAGAGAGTAGAGTTTTTCTACTTGACCTCATCTTATCATAACTATACAGTCAAAGTGCTAATTTTCTGTTATTTTTTCAGCTTTCTTAGCGGAAGGAACGGTTTCTCCTCTCTGAAACCTGGGACGTCTCCGCCTTTTCCCGGCCTCCTGCCACCCCCTTCAGCTAGTCCTGCGACGGAAAAAGACGTCAAGAGCGAAGGTCAGGGGATGCTCAGCTTCCTCCCCGTCCCGCCCGTCCTGCCTCCAGTCATAGATCTTAACGCGACGCAGGCCCTCCTCAACATGGTCAGGACGCATCAGCAGGTAGTTTTCAGAGGTTGAAATAATAAAAACTTAAGGGAACCCCGCAAACAGAAGTCGGGATACCCAATTGATCTTTAACAATCAACGACTTAATTAATGATTGTTTTTATCAAGTCTAATTATGGTATGACATAGAATAAAGACATCTGAAACACTGAAAATACTGAAGCACCACAAACTAACATCAACAACCCCAACAACACTAAGACTTCATTACCGATTACAGTCGTAATATAGGATACTGCATGCATTTCTAATGCCCTCATCGACGCTATTCCAGTTTAAAAACCTTGCAGCCGTGAGTAGCTTCGGAGACAGCACATAGGTATACTACCAGATGTGTATAAAAATGAGCAGTAATAACCAACCCCTGTCAGGAACATCAAATAGACGAACCAATAAAAAATCACAAATTTTTCTGTCCTGCATTTTTGTGATACATAAGCATATATTGTTAAATGTCGTTTATGAGATCGGTGTATACGCGCGTTTAGTCAGAGGACAAAGGAAATGGCAACATTGAACCAAAATAGGTGGGCAATAGTATATAATAGCGACAGCCCACCCAACAAAACCTTACATATTGTTAATTTTATCTATTTTATTCGTGAACAAAAAAATGTAGCTTAGCAACGATAGCTTTATGAAATACTTCGCAAACTAGATTTTAGAAATATTAAGAAGCTCAATTTCGATCCATTCACAATAATTATAAAATAGAAATGATAAATGATGGAGTGAGTGTGGTGTTCAATCCTTTTTAAAAAGATAGTTCCTACTCACAGTAAGTTTTTTGCAACGATCCGGATTTCGAGCCTTTTAGCTCATCATCAGGTTGAAGGACCTGGTTGTAAAAGGAGACGTGGTTGTAGAAGTCCTTTATAAATTATAAAAGTTCTTATTTACACGACCATCATAATTCTTGTAACAAACTTATGCTGCGACAGCTTGATTTTAAAGCATTAAACAAAATTATAACCCTCAGTATTAAATAATCGATAGTAAATAAATCATAAATGTTTGCCTTATTTTTCCTTTTTGCCATCCGGTGGAAGACGTTGGAAACTGATTCGTAATTTATCATGGCCTCAGGGCCAGAAACCAGTTTTCATTGTGATAAAACATATGAGCCGCGTTTGAGAAAAGCAGTCAAATATTAGCGTATTACGAAAAATTGGATAAAATAGAACTTTAAATAGAGGTTTTTCGTCTATTAGACATGTTAATGGAGTAAAATTTCTTACATTTTTAATTAAATATAAATTAGAAAGTAAACCAGGGTACTTGTTTCCTTTCTCGTTTTATTAACGTTTGATAAAAGGTACGACTAAAAATTAACACAGATAAAACCATGAAAGAAATGCCGAAAGGCGCCTGACCTGAAGAAAATACCAGTAATAGGTAGATCAGGATGGCCGGAGATGACCATCCGGAAATGACCAGATTACCATGAGATGACTAGTGTTCCACACTGAGCAAGAAATTTCTTATTTTTAGCCAGTGAATTATAAATTTGTCCCTTGTTATTGGTACAGACCTACCAATGAGCTTGACCTACAATTGTAATTCATCGTAGATTTTGAATGTTTTGTGTACAGTGTATTTCATTAATGTCCTGTTTGGCAGGGCCATCAGTTGGAGAGTTACCTGAAAGGAGCGACGAAGAGGGACGCGGGCAACACGCCTCTGGACCTGAGCGCGTCTGCCAAGCCGCCGAAGAAGCAGAAGCGCAGCCTCTCCGAGTCGCTGTACGGCGCGGACGTCCTTCCGCTTCTCAGGGCGAGCAAAAGAGGGGCCGGGGCGAGCATCGGGCAGGCGAGGAAGCTGGCTGCGAAAGCTGCCTGCGCCTCTGCCTGCCAGGAGAAACCGTGTACGCCCGATAGCCAGACAGTAAGCCACTGGTCGGTAGAAGACGTCGCGGGGTTCGTCGCTTCGGTCGAAATGTGTGCCGAATATGCTCAAGTGAGTTTGTTTAAATATATTTTTCCTTAAAGTAATTAAGGAAAGTAATTAGTAATAAAATAAATGAGTACGCGAAAGTACAACTACCAGCTAACTTCCAACATGGTCGTGCATAATATTCACTCAACTCTGTCTTGTTCCATACCTCTCGCCGAAAATGCGTACAGGAGTCTTATAAGTATGTGTGGTACAATCACCTTAAGCGACAGACAACACATCAAATTACAGAAACGTCAAAAATTGCCAATGGGTTAAAAATGAATGAGTCCTCGTTTCCTGTTTTGCAACACAAAGGGATGCAAAAAGGTGTAAAGACACGACTATCCCAGAAACTAACTGCAAGATTACTAAACCTTGGCAGTTTTTAGACTAACATTGAAAATTTGCTGAATTGACAGTTCAAACACTGAAGGCAGAAACCAGACTAGGCAGATATTGTCAGGAAGGAGATAATTCAAAGGAACATGTACTCTATTGGTGCAAAGTGTTTATCTCATCGGCAGTTAAGTCTACAGTAGTTGGTAATTGTAACAAAGCCCTTCCTAACATTCGGGAAAAAATAAAATTACTCTTGTTTGCGAACCAAAACGTACAGAGCACAGGGGCAACGAGAAGGCCCCTAAACCATTTTCCGTCATACCAACTATGCAAAAACACAGGTTCATCACACGATAGATTAAGAAAGGTTTAAGTTAAGAAAGGTTTTTGGTTCAATTGGTATTTACTCCAAGACTGAGGTCTGCACACACGTTCATAAGAGGATTATCGCGGAAACTAGCAGCAGAACTACTAACCTTATGACGTATGACTAGAATGTTAGTAGAACTGCTGTTTGGACACTGGAGAGCTAACGAAGCTTTGGAATCTGCAAATAACTTTCAAACGAAAGGCTCTATACAATTATGAAGATTGCACAATAGACCAATAATGGACAGAATGTATACAATATTTTTTTTAACGAGGGTTCGCAACTTGCTCTATAATATTTAAATTTGGCATTGGATGAGTTATTTTACAATAGTAATAGAATAATTTATGGTGATGATAAGGTCTTTGGACTGATTTGTTTGATTCGATTTAGGAAAGATTGTTTTGTAGCAGTATTGATTTGGTAGATGTTGGGGCTTGGTCTGCGAGTTGGCGAACTCATGTTGAACTGGCACACGGGCACTACTGGGTCTGTCTTCACTCGCGGGTTTTTTGTTTGAGTTATTCCACTACCAATCAACGAGCACGGAGACCACGCCCCCTAACGCAACGCCCCCAGCGACAAGCGACGGACGCAATACTAGATAAACCCTACTCAAACTACCTGACAGACAGTTTTTCACTGAAGATGGCGTAATGCCGAAACGCGTTTGAATAACTCAAACAAAAAACCCGCGAGTGAAGACAGACCCAGTAGTGCCGGTGTGCCAGTTCAACATGAGTATTGATTTGACTTAAGTCTTCTAACTTATTGACTTAAGTCCAGATGGCTTGACACTGGCTTAGAAGATTTCTGGTAGAACAAAATCAGACACCAGGGTGATGATTGATTGATGTGGAGCTAAGATTTTTTTACGAAGGTACGGAACAGCAGAAATCACATCAACACTCGTGGTGGCGATGTTTCTGGAATAAAAACATTTATAAGTATGTCGGGTTCAAATTCAGGGCTGCTAGATTCGAACCCGGGACCTGTGCTTTACAGTGACGAGCGCCGTGACAACGCCTGAACTGTGTGCAGACACCGACGCCCGTTTACTTTAGTTAAGAAGCAAATTATTGCAATTAACAACAAAACAAACGAACTTTTCAAACTTTTTGCCATAACTTAGTCATTTTTTGACCAATTTAAAATCCGATTGCACCAATGTTTTCAGCGTAAAATTATGCATATTTTTATGCATAGTCAGGACGTATAGGGCGTATATGAAATGAAGTTGAACTGTGCCTGAGGTACCCTGTATAATTTTTCTCAAAAAAGGTAAACATTTGAAACTAGACTAAAATTCACTAATTTCGTGGTCCGCTCGACCAAATAATACATTACAATTAATTAAGGTTTTTAGTTGAGATGAAAAAAAGCTAATGGCACGAGCGGGATTCGAACCCACGATCTTCGGCTAGATACGCCTCTGCTCTACCACTTGAGCTATCGTGAACTCGATCCACTCGGTCACTAACTCCCCATCTCAACCTGAGACCATCTGGACTTACGATTTTGATATCAATACTGCTACAAAACAATATTTCCTAAATCGAATCAAACAAATCAGTCCAAAGTCCCTCTCATCACCATAAATTATTCTATTCCTTCTGTAAAAGATCACTATTCACATTTGAAAAATGGCAAAAAGGAGGGAAAACTCATAAGGTGGGGTTGAGATAGGAAGTTGATGTCCGAGGGGATCGAGGTCACGATAGCTCAAGTGGTAGAGCAGCGGCGTAACTAGCCGAAGATCGTGGGTTCGAATCCCGCTCGTGCCATTAGCTTTTTTTCATCTCAACTAAAAACTAGACTAAACTGTTAAATACGTATTTTTTGTTTTCTTGATAGCGAATTGAAATTCAAGGGAAATTTAGCTGCTTCATCTAAAAAGGACTCCCTGTATAAGTATGGCAAGTTAAATCAGAGAGAACGGACCAGATGATTCGAAAAGATCAAACTATACGTTTGTAGTAGAGCCTGTGTACATGGACTTTATTGGTGATTAATCATTATCGTTTTCGTTGGCTTTTTGGTTACTTCTTGTTCTTCTTAATTGCTAATCAAATGAACGGTTGAGGTTTAAAAAAATGTCCTGCGGTGCGAACCAACACGAGATTTATATAAGATAGCTTATAACTTAAATTGAGTCGTGAAAGAGTGAGTGTTTTGATATGAGATTCTCCCGTTTACAAAATACGGGTTATGGACCGGTCTAAAGTCATGTTTTACAAGGGTAGACCTGTCGGGACAAGTCAAGGCAACGCTTCCAACTTCCATGACAATTAGAGCGTGCCGTGCGAATAGGCGAAAGGTCCGCTCGTGATCAGGCCATTCGGCTGGCTTAATGAACCAAATGAAAACAATTACTTTTCCATTGGATCGTTCAATCTTTCAATGGCGGACGACCCCGGCCGTAAATCGTCTACGATCCTTGTTACCGCCGGCTCCTTGTTTATGTCGTAATTCATCCGGGCGCTTTGGTCGGGCATTGATTAAAAAAGCGTTTTGAACTTGACCCCCGTGTCCCGGGGGATGTCGGTGTCACGACTGTTCCTCTCGTAACCGGCACGTAACTCGAGATATACGTGCGCTTGCGGCGGATTCGCAACGGAAACGCGAATTATTAATGATATCAATTAATGGGTGGCCGGGTGAAAGTAGAATTGATGTAAGAACATTTGTAACTTGAGACCTGCCGAGAACGTGTCCGAAGGTGACAGAGCTCGCTTTCGAAACAAACACCGTCAAAGGCAAATATTTATTTCCACCCTTCAAACTCAAAAGACCCTGTGTTCCTCGGTACGGAGTCGAGTGCCGATCAAAACCTAGGCGAGCTGGCACTTAGTAAATAACGATTTCGTCACGCGGATGAAACCCTCTTTCAGTTCTTTATCCAATTGACTTTTCAATCAAAAATAATCAACCGGGTTCATTAAATAATTCTATGGTTTTCTAATAGCAACAAGATCAAAAGTTTCGATGGAGTTGATAAAATCAGATAAGGAATCATACAATTTCAATTTTGTCTACAGGGTGTCCTTTTTAAAAGGCCCGGCTGAATTTCTCTATGAAAATTATGCAAGGTACCTAAAGCCAAGTTCAACTTCAAAATTTCAAATACGACCCTACGCGTATACGACGATTTTTACGCATAAAAGAATGGTGAAATCGGATTTTAAATTGGTCAAATAATGATAACGTTACATCAAAAAGTTTGAAAAAAGGCATATTGTTTGTTTAGTTGTTAATTTCAATAATTCGCTTATTCACCAAACATTAATTGCCTTTTTTGTTTACATTCTATCACTGCGTGTTAAACTCGCATTATGAGAGCAAACCTTAATTCCTGGAAGTAAATAAATTTTACAGTAGTACCTATTAGTTTATTTTGAATGGAACACAGAATGCAACGAGTAGGTACTATTTTTTTTAATTTTACCATTTCCACCACCCCGCCGTACCTGACGAAGACCCCATACCGGTGGACAAACGCTTTAGCTTAATCGAATTTGTATATCTAAGGGATTTCAAATAAATGGGATAAAAATACCTCCCAACGATCTTTCCTTCAGGCGAGACCGCTGGTCGGTTTTTGAAGGGACCATATTTTCATTTTAGAACCTAAAACAAAAGGTCTTCCCTTACTGGTTTCCCCTTGCACATTTACTTTTCTTTGGTTTTATTTTCTTGGTTTATATTATCTAAAATTTTCTTACTAAGAAGAGGAAAACAGCCCGGAACCCTAAACCTAAACCTATGTTTAATTATGCAATAAATAAATAAATAACGGTAATAAAACTCTAACAATAATAACAATATTTAGGACTTAATAATTAGAATAAATAGGGACTTGTTCATTTAAGCGTATTTGAGGCAAAGTCTTTTAGTGCTCCAAAAGATTTGATATCACAGACTAGCTTTTGGAGATTAGGCGGCCATTCTGCTGAGGTGATGGTCTTTCGCAAACGTTCTCTTTCTGCCTTGAATTTGATACAGCTGAAGAGTTTATGTTCGGCGTCTTCTTCAGTGCTGCAAACGGAGCATAAAGGGCTTTCTCTTTTCTTATATTTATGAAGATAGCTTGCGAAGTTTCCATGTCCTGATAGCATTTGGGTGGTCCAGTAGTCGGGATGTAGCCATTTTGCTTTTTGTCTTTTTTCAACGCTTGGGAAAAATTTGGATGTTAGCCGACCTTTATTGCTATTTGTACTTACTTACCTTAAGTAGATTAAATAGGGACTTGTTCATTTAAGCGTATTTGAGGCAAAGTCTTTTAGTGCTCCAAAAGATTTGATATCACCGACTA